CAGGTACGAGTCCAACTGAAACACACATAAATGCACATAAAATAAAAAATAAAAAAACACGCATCACAAAGCTATAAAGTTGGTGAGCTCATAAATTAGAAATGTCATTTCAGACTTAATCAGAGGCTTTGGTTCCTCTTTTTTTCCGCCTGTAAATCTAATAGATTTGAGGTTTCATCCATGTCTGTACAATCTTAAAAATAAAGGTATGCAATAGATAGGGTTACCCAGAGAACCTTTTGTCGAAAAGTTCTTTAAAAAAAATGTTCCCCCTGTGGAAAGAATATTTTAATAATTTGAAGATTTTTTTTCCACTAAAAACAAAAGTTCTAAAAGTTTTTTTTTTTTTTTTACGCAGTAATGCCATAGACAAACCATTTATTTTGGTTCCCCAAAGAACCGGTTCTTAAAAGAACCATTATTTTCTTAGTGCAAGAACATTTTAATATCATTTTAATAATCTCAAAATGCACTATAAAGAACTTTATTATTGTTTTTTTGCAGTGGAAAGGTAACATGGATGTTTTTAAGAGTGTAGCTGAATGAGTTTCACAGTAATCACAAACTGCTGAAACTCCTAACCTCAGGTATGAGCAATAATAATAGTGATGATTACCTTTAAGTATTAAGTATCTTTAATATGCAGTAGTTTCTTCGAATCAGGTTTTAGTGCAGCCAGAGGGAGGAACTCTCCGAAACGTCAGTCACGATTTCCCCAGGTTAACACATCAGGGAGCCTCTCCGCTATGAGCAAGCTGTTCCTCTCTCTAAAACACTTTCTGTTTACTATTTATTATGGCGCTGATAGGCTTTTAAGAAATAATAGTTCTTCCTGCACTTAAGATGGAAGTTGCTTTATTAGCCTACCTCCTGAATAAATGAATGAATAAATAGCTAGTCAAAAGAACAAATTAAGAATCATGAACGAGTTAATCATTAATCTGCTGAGATATGGACATTTTTTGTAACATTTTGCAAAATATATCATCCAGGCTGATTGGCCAATATTCATTTTGAGATTATCAACTGATAACTGTTAACCCTCTAGAGTCAATTCAAATTAACCTGTGTGTGTGTGTGTGTGTGTGTGTGTGTGTGTGTGTGTGTGTGTGTGTGTCCATTTAGAAGATGTCACACCTACTTATTATTATTTTCCACTATTTATGAATATATATTTTAATAATACAATTTCATTGTTTTAGTAAAAAAAAATTAAAAATCAGCAAGGATGCATTAAATTGATCGAAAGTGACAGTAAAGACTTTTACAGTGTTATCTGCTAGTTTTAAACTTTGTATTCATCCAATAATCCTAGTAAAAGTATCCCAGTTTCCACAAAAATAAGCAGCAGCACAACTGTTTTCAACATCGATAATAATAAGAAATGTTTCTTGAGCAGCAAATCAGCATATTAGAATGATTTCTGAAGGATCGTTCTATCCATCCATCCATCCATCATCCATCATCCATCCATCCATCCATCCATCCATCCACCATCCATCCATCCATCCATCCATCCATCATCCATCCATCATCCATCCATCATTCATCATCCATCCATCATCCATCCATCATTCATCATCCATCCATCATCCATCCATCATCCATCCATCATCCATCATTCATCATCCATCCATCCATCCATCATCCATCCATCATCCATCATCCATCCATCCATCATCCATCCATCCATCCATCCATCATCCATCATCCATCAATCCATCCATCATCCATCCATCCATCCATCCATCCATCCATCCATCCATCCATCCATCATCCATCCATCCATCATCCATCATCCATCCATCCATCCATCATCCATCAATCCATCCATCCATCATCCATCCATCCATCCATCCATCCATCATCCATCATCCATCAATCCATCCATCCATCATCCATCCATCCATCCATCCATCCATCCATCCATCGATCAATCATCCATCAATCATCCATCAATCATCCATCCATCCATCTATCCATCCATCCATCATCCATCCATCCATCCATCCATCCATCCATCCATCCATCCATCCATCCATCCATCCATCCATCATCATCATTCATCCATCCATCATACCATCCATCATCCATCTATCCATCATCCATCCATCCATCTATCCATCCATCCATCCATCCATCCATCCATCATCCATCATCCATCCATCCATCCATCATCCATCATCCATCCATCATCCATCATCCATCCATCCATCAATCCATCCATCCATCCATCATCCATCATCCATCCATCCATCCATCATCCATCCATCCATCAATCCATCCATCCATCATCCATCATCCATCCATCCATCGATCAATCATCCATCATCCATCATCCATCCATCCATCAATCCATCGATCAATCATCCATCAATCATCGATCAATCATCCATCAATCATCCTTCTATCCATCCATCCATCAGCCATCATCCATCATCCATCAATCATCCATCCATCATCCATCCATCCATCTTCCATCCATCCATCCATCCATCCATCCATCCATCCATCCATCATCCATCCATCCATCCATCATCCATCATCCATCCATCCATCCATCCATCCATCCATCCATCCATCCATCCATCCATCCATCCATCCATCCATCCATCCATCCATCCATCCATCCATCCATCATCCATCATCCATCATCCATCCATCCAACTATCCATCCATCCATAATCCATCCATCCAGGCTATATATTTGTCTACAAAGCTAGTTTCAAACATTTAGGGCATAAAAGTATATATACTAGCACTCCTGCTAAATGCCAAAAGATTAAAGTTCATTGCAACGCTCTGAAAGTTAGTGTGAGTTTTTACAGGGTGAGTGACAGGACTGAGGATATGAGTTTTGACATTGGACAGATTGTGTGTCCCTCGGTGAGCCTCGAGGAGGCAGAGGGGCAGGATCAGCCTCTTCATGAGTCGGGGCGGGTGGGGTATGAGTGTGTGTGTGTGTGTGTGTGCATTTCAGGACAGGCTCACAGATGTGTGTGACGACCCCACGGCAATGGAACTGCTGTCGCTATGAAGCACACATTGCATAGCAACCGGATAACATCAGTCAGATAGGCCTGATTTCAGTGTTTAGATGTAAAAGGTTATAAATTAATTAGAAAAAGGCAGACACAACGCTCTGTATAAACAAGAAACAGTAAGATCCTAATACAACTTAATTAAGCTTGTCATAAAACTCCCCAGGCATATGATTCTTTTTTATCACCTTCAATCCTGACGCTGGATAAAATCATCAATCCACAGGTGACCTAACTAGCAGGTCACATTTTCCACAAAATGATATGCACAGGCTGTAAATCAAATGAACTGTTTAATATAATTATCCTGGTGACTGCAGTACGTGTGACAATGTGAGGCGGCTATATGACCTTCGCCACATTAGGAAGTGTTGATGTGTTGATTTCCACACAAACAAACTTTAATTGCAGTACGGTAAAAAGACATATCGCACATCTCACCGCCAGGAAAATTGAAAGATGCGAAGGATGCAAGGTGCAGAAGGGAGTGAGAAAAGGAAATGCCAGTTGTCTGTTCTGTCTGTTTTTCTTTTCTGAGAATTAACAGGCTGTAAGGCAATGGAGGGATTTTCTCCTGCTAAAAAGTCAGAGCTGCAGGCCACACTGAGAACTGAGCCAAGCTTCTGCCTTTCATCTGCCACAGCATCACTTTACACTGACAAACTGTGTACCTGCACATCACGCATTCGCTAAGGTACCGTTAATTCAAAAGCCGGTTCATAAAATACCGTCTTTGATCATTTTCACGTCATTTATGCTCCAGACCTACATTTTATTGTAACTTGGCCTGAGCTGAAACTCGTTAAGTTATTTGCCATCATTAAAAAAGAAAAAAAAGAACGCTCAGACGGTGTTTATCCAAATTAGACATGCATATTCAATAGCACATAATAAAAAAAATGCATGTTTTAAAAAAATATCTTCAGATTATTTATTCACACTTAAAATGAAGTGTGGGAAAAGATGCGTTTGGAATGGAACTCTGTGCAGTGCACACTGTTGCCTGCAATATTTAAAAAAGATATATATATATATATGCAACGATACATTTCAAATGGCAGTGTGGTATATTGTCATATGAACAAAAGGTAACAGTATAATAAGAAATGTTTCTAGTGCAGCAAATCAGTGTATTTGGATGATATCTGAAGTATCTCTCCATCCATCCATCCATCCATCCATGCTATATTTGTCTACAACGCTAATTTCAATAATTTAGGGCATAAAAGATGAACTCACCACCTTGTATGTTTAATTCGGTGAGTTTCATCCGGTTATAAAGAAAAAAAGTTATTTATTTTGTGAGTAAATAAATAGTTGTAGGCCTATTGGATTTTATTCCAATTTGAAAAATTAACTATAACAAAACACACCACTACTGTTTTTCTCAGTAGACAGTTTTATGGTGCAGGGGTCATGACCCGTGACAAACTCAGCCCAGCAGGACACCTAATACATTTTTTTTTTTTTTTTTTTTTTTTTTTACTTGAATAAAAACACAGGATGAGCTCCATATGTCCTGCTGTTTTGTACACGGAATAATTAAAATATATATAAATCGTCGTATTTGCACATATATTACTATCAAACGATTAAATCAAAACATGTTTTTAAAAAGTAACACTGTGTCCAAGTGTGCGGAATGACGTCCACTGAAATAATCACGTGCGCGGCTGCCACCTGCTGGCGAAGAGTGGAACGTCTGGGATTAATATTGCCCAATTACGGTAAACCCGTTTTAAAAAGTTACATAAGGTGTTAATCTTGAAACAAATGCATACATGAACAATTATACGTTTATCAATCTGTATATAACGTCTTGTTTTTGTAAGTCTCAGTATCATCTCTGTTTAAGGACTGAAATATGAGAATCCGCCCACTTTCCTCAAGTGTGTCCAATAGTGTCTCTAGAGGAGTCATGAGGTTTATTTTAATGACCTTTGCTTGACTTTTCAACCAATTTACAGGTGTCTCATCATACGTAGACAGTCAGCGACATGGAGGGACCGCAGCAACAGCAGGTAAGCGAGTTTATTTACTGTGTGTATTTATAAACAACATAGCCTACTTTTGCCAAAACTTTCAACTTTGCGCAATAGAATTTGGAGTTTATTCGTGTGGCATCATCACTGTTTGACGTTAAAGAGCACGTCAGCTTATCGATATAACATGTTAGCATTACATCACCTCTTTAATTTGATTGCTGGCAGATTTTGAACCCGCAGAGACTGAAGTCACTAAAAGAATGGGTGCAGAAAAGCTCCATCACTTTAACGCAGGTCAACGGGCAGAGGAAATATGGTGGTCCTCCTCCGGGTAAGTGCTCTTGAGTTGAACTAAGATCAGCCGATTGCAATTAAAAACACAACCTGTGGCATTTCAAGCTCTTTTATGTCTCCTTGCATGAGATTGAAGCATCATGTGGATGAAGACAGAGCTGTAGCACATGGCCTCAGTTAAAGAAGCCTCTCATTTTCCTTTATAACATTGAGCAGAGCACAAGCACGCCTCTCTTTTCAGAGGTTTTAAGCATAAGTCTTCATCATTTGGGTTTAAAATGGCTTGTCAAGTAGGAATGATACATTGTAGCCATCTGATGAAAGTTTGAACCATGCCTCTTTTGTGCTTTGCCTCTACCTCATTGAAACATGGACACCTGGAGATCAATTAGGCTGAAAGTCCTCAGTGCTGCTCAATTAATGCTGATTGGAAGCTTTTAGAGATGGTTGATGAGAGGTTTGGAGTTAAAATTTTAATGTTTCGATCCCTTTAGATGTCTTTAACATGTATAAATCATTATGATATATCTATTTCCCAAGGTGGGGTTAACTTTAAAAGATAGTTGGCTAATTATTGTTTTCATTGTTTTTGACCCATAACTTTATATATTTATCATACTTACTCAAATATTGTTAGTAAACTGTCAGTAATAAAATAAGAACAAATAATCAAATTATGAGCAATAACAGTCAAACAGTAGTTTTGTTCAGGTAGAGAAGTTGATTAATCAAATGTAAAATAACATTCTATAGTCTTCACTGTATAAATTAAATTAAGGGTGTATTCACACCAGGAAAGTCCGATAGTTCACTTGCTTTGGTCCGGACCAAATATTATTATTTTTTTTTTTTTTGGTACGGTTCGCTTTCACACTGCTCTTTTTGCAAGTGAACCAAAATTTGTAAACAAAACCACACGTGTGCTAAGGTCGTCCATTCATTGGACAAGGATTCTCAAGTAGGGAAATCAGGAAGTGCAAAAAAAAGGCTCAGCATGGAGATATTTCGTACTGCAATTTTTGTTATTATACTAATTTTGTGTTATTCTGTACAAACGCAATATGAAGAAACTGCACAGAACACGGATAAGGTATAAATTTTTCATTCATAGAGAGGGGCTATGTTCACACATTCAAATAATGAGATTCTTATTGTATATACTGCTATCAAGTGCTGTCAATTTTAACGCTTGGGATTAAGTTTGTCCAGTTTAACGCAGCATCATCCTTGTGTTGTAACTATCGTTACATTATATGAACTGCAAATGCTTTTTTTGCATCTATGCGCGATTAGACTAAAGAGAACCCTCTGTATTTGAATGTCCTGATGCACACACTCATTCATTCATTCAGCTTTCTGTCCCTCCATTGAAAATGTATGTACGGTATACTGTCCTTGTCCAGAAAGGAAATAAAGACATCATCAAAGTAGTCCATGTGACATCAGTGGGTTAGTTAGAATGTTTTGAAGCATTGAAAATACATTTTGGTCCAAAAATAACAAAAACTACGACTTTATTCAGCATTGTATTGTCTTCCGGTTCTGTTGTGGATCCGCGTTAAGTGACGCTGCTGACGTGTGTCTGGTGCGCCCGAGCTTCGTTTACAGTCTGAGGGAGACGCACGCTGGAAACAAAACAATCTTCGCAAACATGTCTAAGGATTTCCACACAGAGGAAGATTTGCATTTTTTTTGCCCAGCCATATTTATTTGAACCCGAATACACGGACACACCAGATGACACGTCAGCAGCGTCTTACGTCAGCAGCGTCACTGCGGACTCGTGAACGCGGATCCACAACAGAACCGGAAGACAATACTATGCTGAATAAAGTCGTAGTTTTTGTTATTTTTGGACCAAAATGTATTTTCAATGCTTCAAAACATTCTAACTAACCCACTGATGTCACATGGACTACTTTGATGATGTCTTTATTTCCTTTCTGGACAAGGACAGTATACCGTACATACATTTTCAATGGAGGGACAGAAAGCTCTCGGACTAAATCTAAAATATCTTAAACTGTGTTCCGGAGATGAACGGAGGTCTTACGGGCTTGGGACGACATGAGGGTGAGTCATTAATGACATAATTAAATTTTTTGGGTGAACTAACCCTTTAAGTTGCAAGCTTTATTCAGTCAAGAGCAGTGAGTTTTTTGTTTGATTAACATTAGAAACAGACGGCAGCAAGATTATTAGGCTGCTGTCACTTTAAGAGCTGCATGGAACCAACATACTGTTACACATGCGTTTTATTCCTCAACCGTTTACATTCACTTAAGACATAACTGACTTTTGTGTACGTGGATAATCACAAAATTATGTCAAAATGGCTGTATTGGCGTGAAAATGTCCGTTCAAGTGCAAGAAGACTTTAAAGAGAACTCAATTCAGTATTTGGGCGCTCACTAAGAGCCGAATTGCGTAGGAGTGTGTGATATTGACAAATTATATCGCGATATTTTCTGGAATTTTCTTGATGACCATAATTAGACAATATTTTGCTGCGTGTTTTTGTTTTGGTGCGATAGCATGTTTAGGACTGCCGTGGACCGCTGACTCGTAAAGCTTTTAATATTCTTCATATTCTGTGTGGTTGTCAGTTCAAAGCAGTGACAGAAATCATCTTTTCCAATAAGTTTAAAACGATTTTTACCGTAGGCATTTTTACCTAATTAAATGTATGCATCATTTTTTGTCAAATTCTTACATTTAATCAATAAATTCAATTAGAATAATAAGACTCAATAGGGCCGTTACCAATCAAATGAAATCAGTATCAACAAAATTAATCTTTGCAATGCTAGAGGAAAAACAGAAGCTGCTTCATTCTGAAGTGGCATTTAGATATATTTACACAGTCTGTTTAATAAAGCTCAGTCGACATTTAATGCTTTAAAATTGCTACAAATGCATAATGTTTTGATGTTTTGAACATAAAACGCTGAATTGATATTAGAAAAGATTTTAAAAATGAAAAGAGACTTTAAATGTGAAATTAAAACCGCCAGTAGGTGTCAGCAAGTCACTGTTAATGAGCGAGTCATTGAGTTCAAACAAACGGCCGAGGAACGATGAGTGAGTCTTAATGAGTGAGTCATTGAATCATTCATTCAAATGATTTGTATATTCAGTAATGAAACACTGCCGTGTGTTGCTCAGAGACTCAAAAAAGTCCTGTTGCTTTGTTTGGAGCTATTTTCATTGGCGAAATAGAGCCAAAACATGCAGTATTGTCTTAAATGTAAGTCACTTAATATTAACTACTACTTTAATTTAACTGTTGTATAAAATCAATATCACATTTGTAATGACTATATATTGTATTTTATTTATCTTATTGTATATTTATTTATACTTTTATAAATGTGGAATTTCATATACATATTGACTTAATCAAATCATTATTAATATTAATGGTTATTATTCATTTTGATCAATTGTCATTATGACAATTTTAACAGGATTGATGCATAAATTACCCAAGGTTAAGTCTTCAATTTCACACTGCTCTCATACTTTGTTTCAACTTTAATCATGAAGTCCTTCTGAAATCTAATTTCATTCACTTTTGTTTTTGCAGAAAAGATCAAATATTGCTCATTTTGACCTTTCCTTTCTCCTCCTCCTCCAGGCTGGCGAGGTCCTGCTCCCGGCCCGGGGTGTGAGGTTTTCATCAGTCAGATCCCACATGACGTCTACGAGGACCGTCTGATTCCTCTCTTCCAGAGCGTCGGTGCTCTTTATGAGTTTCGCCTCATGATGAACTTCAGCGGGCAGAACCGGGGCTTTGCCTACGCAAAGTACGGCGACCCCTTCACGGCATCCACCGCCGTCATGACCCTCCATCAGTACCCTCTGCAGGAGGGGGTGTGTCTGACGGTTCGCAGGAGCACGGAGAAGCGGCAGCTGCGTCTGGGGGATCTTCCGGCGAACGTGAATCAGGCGGAGATGCTGATGGTGCTCCAAATGATGTCTGAGGGTGTGGAGGACGTCCTGCTGAAGTTGGCCGGGCCCAAAGGGAGAGAGATCGTGGCTCTAGTGAACTACTCCTCCCACTATGCGGCGTCCATGGCCAAAAAAATGCTTGTAGAAGGTATGCTGTCTGGGATATGGAAATATTTTGGTTATGAAATGAATGGCTTTTTTAAAAAGAAAGTATCAGTGCGCACTGTTTCTGAACTGCCTGAAACGCCTTGATTGTAGTCTTGAGTTTTCTTCCGGGAATGTACATGACATAATATTCCTCATGTAAGTAATTCCCGCCCAAGGCCTGGTTCAGTTGCGTTAGAAGTGTGTTGAAACACCCGGCTATGTTAAGGGGCGTGACATTTCCGAAACGTGCTCAAAGCAATTGACTAATCATAACACGTTGGTCCAGCCGACCAATCAGAGCACATCGCGCTTTTCAGAAGGAGTGGCTTCATAGAGACAGGAACTAAAAAGAGCATTACTGACAGACTGGGAAGAGAGGTGTTGCAACAATATCAAATATGTGAAAACTAGTGTTTGTTGAACATTGAAGCATGAAAAACTATTCTAGTACACCACAAAAACAAAATCAAGACTTTGAAAAACCTTTAATATTGGACATATTACGTCACCATAGGGTTGGGTGATATGACCCAAAAAATTGTTACGGTAAAATGTTTTATCAGTCGATGTTGATAATTATCACGATAAATGTCAAATCTTTAATTCGTTCAAGTTTAAAGGCAGATTTTCGCTCCCAAGTGAAAGTTTTAAGAACATGACCAACACTTGCCAAACAGGTGAACGTTTCACAAATCTGAGGCAGAGCATTCAAAACATTTTTCGTCTTTTTTCCTAAACAAAAGAAATATCTTAATAGAAAAATGTATTTCTTAGTTTCGTGCAATGAGTGATTGTTTCAAATCATGAAACAGGTTTGTGTTGTCTGACTTTGATGGCACATATCTTCAGCAGTGCAGCCTGTAATATTAATAATATTAAATTTATATATTCTAACTGTTTGAGTTAGAACTCTAGTTTTATTAAAATGTAACCATTGGTCATCCATAGTATCATACACAGAACCACGCATATAGCACCCCGATACTATGGTAAAATGTAACTATATGGTTTCTGTGGTATTTGCATGAAAAACAGTAGCCTAAACACTTTTAGTATAAATACAAATGCACAAATGCTGTAGCTTAATAACAAAATGATATTCCATTACTCCAATGCATTTAATACATGACTACATAAATAATATAATACAATTCGATATCCCTCATTTCTGTCACAAAACCATGGTGCAGTTAGTGTTACTACTGTAAATCCATGGTAAATGATGGTGATTTGTAGATCAAAAAGCCTTCTAACTGGATCGTTCATAGCACACGTTTTGCTGTTGAGAATATCAGCGCTGTTTTATCTGGTTCAAACTAGTTTAACTCAGAGACGTTTGTGTTCTACGCTGAATTCTGTTTCATCCTGCAACTTTTGTTATTTTATTGATGAAAATTATATCGTTAGTTTTATCGCCCAGCCCTACTACCATGGAATAATAAACATTTATCGTTAGGCTGTGTATTTCTTATGTCATTCCAGCTTTTAAGAAGCAGTACGGCATTTCCATTACCGTCAGTTGGACGTCCTTCTCCAAGTCCAAGCGTATCAAGGAGACCGGACAAGATGACTGCTTCACCTCACCTGGTCTGAAACCCCTCAGTAAACCCTCCCTCAGCCCTCCACACCTGTATCCTCAGCTCTCTCATCATGATGTCCCAGCACACCCCACCCGCCTGCCCTTCTTCCGGGCCGTGGGGGGTCCGACCGCCCCGGTGAGGGATGAGATGATGGCTCAACCCCCCGTGAACCGCGACCCCGTGTCTCAGCTGCAGAGGATGTGCGAGGCGAACAGACTCGGTACACCGCAGTACGAAGTCCGTTACAATCACACCGGCCCCGACGGCTTCTTCTACTTCGCCTTCAAAGTCCTGATCCCAGGCCTCCCTCTGCCTCTGTACGGGGCTGTCCACATCCTTCCAAGCACCAGCGCTCCAGCCACGAAGGGGGAAGTTTGTCGGGCCGCCGCCGAGCAGGTGATCCAAACCATGCGCAAGGTCTCAAACTTGCGACCTTTCTAAAATGTGAGCGGCTTTTTCTAATGTAATGTAACATTATCAGTTTTACGTTCAGTATTATGGTTTGAAGGCATGTACTGTTCTAGTTTCAGATGAATGAGTGGAAATTTATGATACACTGAAGTATTTCATTTACTGTATAAAAAAAAAGAGGAACTAGGCAGTGAATTTCTTTTAATTTTACAAGCTCTTGAATTCAGCACTATGAGAGTGGTTTGAAGTATTATGTTCTTGTTGATATAATGTTTTATGATATTTTAACTATGTAATATTAATCATTTATGTTTAGGCAGCCTCATCACATTTGGTTGACTGCATGTTTTCACAACTTCTTATTTTGAACGTTTTCACCGTATTTGACTTTTCACGATTTGTTTTGCGTGTTTGTCACGATTGCTGACTTTGCATGGTGTGCTGTTGTTTCCTTGTTTGATGGGTTGTACTGGCTATAAATGACTTTTGTACAGTAAATAAGTTCAAGAAATAATACTTGTGCAGGCTATTGCTCACGTCCCTGATTATAACATCTTCTATTGCTCATACCTGTGGTACAAAGTTAAAAGCCCTAACAAAACTATTAAACTTTGACTACAGATATGAATGGTACCTCAAATCACATGAGATGTGCTATTATTAGGGAATAAATCAAAATTTTTCCAAATAAGCACCAGGTTTGTCATGCTTGGTTGTAAGACTGCATAACTTTATAACAAAATTTTATAGATCAGTAGTACTATATAATAAGATTTTTACAGCTGTAAATCTCTTAATTAAAAGATAAGCATAGAATTTCAGAAAATGTAAATGTTAAAGGTGCATTTTGCATGTGACATTAAAACAGACCATAAAGAAAAGATAAACAAGATATCTTAGTTACTCATTTATTGATAGATCTGACATAATCCGAGCACATTTTAAAAGAGCAGGCAATGAGTTCAATGTTTCCTCGTTAATGTACATGTTCAACTGACAAAACTGGAACTGGCATATGGTAAATAGGTCCACCGTTCTCCTCCGTCTATATGGTGACTGTTTTTAAGATTACAAGGTCCGTTTCTTGACTTCATCCACCAGATCCGCTCGGGGCACATCCACCTGCAGGAAACCAGACAAAAAAATCAGATTAAAATAAAATAAAAATCTTGACTCGTTATTGGATCTGACTGTTGAAGGTTAAAGGGTTAGTTCACCCCAAAATGAAAATTCTGTCAGTAATTACTCGCCCTCATGTTGTTCCAACCCCGTAAGACTTTCGTTCATCTTTGGAACACAATATAAGATAAGATTGATTAAATTCTTCTTAAGGGATCGAAACTGGCCGGCCCAGAAAAGTTGAAAGTTGGCTTAATCTTAAGTTTATCAAGCGACGAGAATACTTTTTGTGCGCAAAAATAACGACTTTATTCAACTATTCATTTCCTTCTCTGTGGGCGTCGAGATTTCATGTAGTGGACCTGTGCAAAGGATCTGTGTTGTACGTCACACGTAGGCTCGCTATTGGCCGACGCTGGTCATGTGTGTGTGATGCGGATGACGTACAACCTAGAAGCTTTGCGTAGTTTCACTATGTGAAATCTCGAGGCCCACAGAGAAGGAAATGAATAGTTGAATAAAGTCGTTTGTTTTTTGCGCACAAAAAGTATTCTCGTCGCTTGATAAACTTAAGGTTGAGCCACTGTAGTCACTTGGACTATTTTAACGATGTCCTTCATAACTTTTGGGCCGGCCAGTTTCGATCCCTTAAGAAGCCTATGGAGGAGTGATCCAGCTCTCAGATTTAATCAAAAATGTCTTACGGGGTTGGAACAACATGAGGGTGAGTAATTACTGAATTACTGACAGAATTTTCATTTTGGGGTGAACAAACCCTTTAAGATGAAAACTGGATTAAACATGCAATATGAGGTCATGAGACAAACGCAGTCTGTTTTAGTGTGGAATAATGCATAAAATTATTCTATAATCAGTAGGACTGCCCCTTAATAGTCAACTAAACGTTAGTCGACCAAAATTGTATTAGTTGGCTAGTCGCAGAAAAAACCCCCACAGAAAGTCACAGTCCGTGAGAGACAGATTGTTAAAGGAGAACTCCGGCGCAAAATGAACCTTTGGTCTAATAAAACATTGGTACCTAGTCACCCGTTCTCTGAGATTTGTTTTCATGATAATCGAATGTAAAGAGTTTTATCTCTAAAAACTGTTTAGCGTATAATGCTAGTAATGGGGGCATATAATAAGTAAAAAGAAATCGCTAGTTTATACCACTAACAAGGTTTAAAATAGCCCCACACTAACACAGTAACATAATGAGGGTCCCTACATGCAAAACGAAGCATTGAGAACTTTGTAAGTGTACAGACCGTTTAATAAGAAGATAAAGATAAAGACAGTCCACTTCGTGTATACAGACAGGAGCCATCTTTGGAAAACAGTCTCGACTAATCAAATTACTAGCGTTATACGCTAAACAGTTTTTAGAGATAAAACTCTTTACATTCGATTATCATGAAAACAAATCTCAGAGAATGGGTGACTAGGTACCAATGTTTTATTAGACCAAAGGTTCATTTTGCGCCGGAGTTCTCCTTGGCGGGTCCTTGTGGTAGTTACAGTATCCAAAAATCCAAACGTTCGCCTATCATCAATCAACCTCAAAAATGGTTTATCATTTGAAACATTTAAGTAGTATTGTAGTAGCGTCCAAGTAAAGTTGCTACTACAATACTACTTAAATGTTTCAAATGATAAACCATTTTTGAGTTTGATTGATAGAACTGAACAAAAATTAACTGAACTCAGCATATACCGTAGGCTAGTTGCCTCACAAACATGAGAAATATATCTATAGAAAGCTTGAAATGTCCACTTTTAAACAAACCAATTAAAAAAAACAAATACTCTCTGATGATGTAATCCGTATGAATGGTGGATTTCTGTCTATAGGCACATTCAAATTTATATAAGCATGTGATTAGGCAACTAATGGCTTAGACAAGAAAAATCTTTAGTCGGGGGCAGCCCTAATAATCAGTTTTGTGAATGGCTTTTCAAATTGTTGTATATAAATTACATACACATTAGAGATTAAAACAAATTCCAGATCTCTATCTATAGAGATGTCAAATCTCACCTCTTCTCGGCTGGCCACGTTGCGCAGTTTGACGACTCCGTCTTTGAGTTCTTGCTCTCCTAAAATGGCCACCAGTGGAATCCCGGTTTCCTCACAGTGCTGCAGTTGGCTCAACAGCTTTGGGTTTTTCTTATATAAAACTTCAGCCTGCAGCACATAATACACAGAGTCAGAGAACCACAATACAACTTAACTAATTTGTTTTCTTGATATGATGTCCAAGCATATGCAGACCTTAATTCCAGCGTTCCAAAGCTCTGTGGTCAGTTTGAGTCGCTCTTCTAGAAGGTTCTTCTGCGCTGAAGCCACCAGCACTTGAGTTTCAGTGGTGCGCACCTTCTCTGAAGATATCTGGAGGAGATAGGAATATTCCATATTTGTATTTAAATACATTTCATATTAAAACAGTGGCACTCTTCTAAAAATATACTCAAATGATTAATAACAAAATAAATATAGATAAAAATAATTTTAAATACCATTAAACCCAGTTTTAGATGATATAAACCTTTCATAATAAAACCGGGGCACCATTCTAAAAATGTACTCAAATTATTAATTAAAAAATAAATATAAAGTGTAAATAGCATTAAATAATTAAAAATAGACCACTGATCTTCCCTAATTTGAGATTCAATACCTTTCATAATAGAACACAGTGGAAAAAAAATCAAAAGAATTTACTTATTTTTAAAAAGCATTAAATATTTAACATGAATCATTAATCTTCCCAGTTTTACATTTTAAATACCTTTAATAATAAAACACATTGGCACTCTTTTATAAATGTACTCAAATAACAATATATTTTTTAAATGGCATTAAATATAATTTTTTAAAATATATTTACCGTTAATGTTTTCCCAATTTTAGAAGAACACTCAGAAATTCACACAGAAATGTCACAGTACAGAAGGTGAATGTGTTGCAAATGCAATTTCATGTTACACTTAAAACGCTATTGTAGAACACTTGCTTCCAAATCAGACTTTAGTTATAAATAAACTCCCATCTTTGTTTCTGTCTTTATACGCCCTCAAACCTGCCCCTCTTTCTCTTACTCACCTCGGCCTTCTGCTCCATGATGGAAAAGATCCGCTCAATCCCAATGCTGATGCCCACGCAGGGCACTTTTCTACCCTTGGGGTCAAACATGCCCACCAGCCCATCGTATCGCCCCCCGCCGGCCACGCTGCCAACGCTTACACCCGCCTCATCCGCCCCGTTCTGCTCTGTGGGTGTAGACACTGGTGCTGGGACGGTCTGGGATAGCACCGCTTCATAAATCACACCGGTGTAATAGTCCAGTCCTCGCGCCAGACTCAGATCAAACACCACCTAGAGAGAGAGAGAGAGAGAGAGAGAGAGAGAGATTTAAAAATTAATGGGGGCAAACGAAAAGAACAGGACCACAGATGCAGCCAGCGAATGGGTATGGGAAAAAAAGCAATAATGAACATGAAATTATAACTGAATTTACTGAAACGAAAACCCCCTGTAATAAATTTTATAGGGTGTGTATTTCTTATCTAATGGGTCATAAAATATAAGAAGAATGCATGTGGAGCATAAAAAAATTAATCCGCTGTGACGTGATACAGTATTGCTTTCAAATTAATCCAAGTTTGTTGTTCTAACCTGTTGGAATTTTGAAACTACACTCTCGATTGGCTGGGATCTTTGTCACCAATATTGGCAAATTATCACTTTTCTTGGCAAACGTTAATGCAATTGAATGCATAATGCAAATATAAATAAGGAAAGATAAATGTAATTTAAATTCTATTGATTGATGGCATTAAATTAGAAAATACACAAAGTAGAAGCATTGTGGTACAACCACGGATCTATATAAATGACTGACGTCATAAAACTGAACCCATACGCTTGTGTATTCATCACATTCTATTGAATTAATAGGAAATCATCAGATTTGAATGAGAAAACATTACCTTACGAGTCAGCGTTAGTCTCCCTATTCATTCTTACAATGCAAACGTCCTAAACATTTAAATGGTTATTTGTTTAAAGTCGGGAATTTCCCCTGCTTATTAAAAGTTACGTTCATCTTTATTACAGTGGCGAATATCCGACGATCTCCAAGAGTCTGAAGTGGATGTTGGTCAACAAAAAGACATCAGGAAATAATATACACACTTCACTATTTCCAAGCATTTATACTGTCGCTCTGAGCAAGATGATGCATGGTATATATGCAATATAATAATAGGGTCTTGTATGTATTGTAATATTTATTGTATATTCGAATCAATTTCTGCTAATAATCCCAGATATCAGTATATGCTTAATATTTTCTGCATAATTACGTAGATAAAGAAATCTATTTTGTGTTCAGTGAGTTACCAGTGTCAGCATTGTGCAAAAGACACAATTTCTATCGCTGGGTCCAAAATCGAATAGTTCCTTTCTATGTAGTATACGAAAAACAATACGCCAAAAGAGTACATAGTATTTGAAAAACAGTAGGTGAAAAGTACCCGGATGACCTACTACTCCCACTGAGATTCTGAAGTGCGCATTGAATGAACTCTATACTATCCCATGAGGCCACGAGAGAGGATTTGTGAATGGCAGTGAAGCGACTCGACTGACACTGGTAGGTCACATGACAGTAACAACATTCACAATGGATGTAGTACGTCTGATTTTCATTCACACTACCCATATTCATACTATATAAAACATAATTTTTTTTGAACATTTGCAAAGTAAATTCAAATGTACCCACTCAGACAGTGCACGATTTCAGACGCAGGGTATTTATCACTTATCCGGCCCGAAAAGACCATAAAAATTACAGATAACGTATGAAGTAACAATTAATTTGCATACATGTATCCGGTGCGTGTGATTTTAGGTCAAGGTTTTCGTGTATGATGCTGTCAGAATACCAATGTGGCTTCACCGTCTGCTGGCAGTTTAATACGCAATGAGCAATCCAGTCATTTATATACAGCGCCGCCGCTCCCACCACGCGCTGTGCGTAGGGCACCAAGTGCTGAGGGGGCACCAAAAATAGCCTATAATAGGGGGGGGACGGGGCATCATAAAGGAATTATGCTTAGGGCACCAAAATGGCTAGCAGCGGCACTGTTTATATAGATCAGTGGGTACAACTCGCTTTTTGTTCAGTATTAAGGACAATAGGAAATAACTGACTTTTCTTTTGAAGCGTTCTTGACCTCTGACCTCACCTTGTCTGTGACCTGGAAGAGCTCCAGGTAACTGAAGAGCTGCTTCATATCCGTGAGCCCGGCGCAGGCCTGTTTGCTCTGGGACAGTTTGGGGTCCTGCAGCAGTCGCTCAGCCAGATCCTTCCCACCTAAAGGTCAAAGATGTCAGTGGATGTAGAAAACACCCCAGGTAACAAATCTGGTCAGGGAAAATTTGCCCGTAAGTGATTGTGAAAAGATGGTGTGATGAATGTTACTTACCGTGCATGCTGACATACTCCCCGATCCGATCGGCAATTTCCTCTGAAAGACCTTTCTCGTTTACCATCTCCTTTTTTACATCCTCCCAGGCCATCTACAAACACAACAATCGGCATGTGAAACCTTAAATTAGGGCTGGGTTGACAGTACAGATGAATTGATTTTAATCGATCTTCAGTTTAATGAACCAATATAGATTCTTAAATAGCAAAACTCCATCTCTTAGTCCATTTTCTGTTGATGAGTGAATAATACAAAAAAGAAAAGACTAAACATTTGTAGCACACCTCCAAATCCAATAATTGCAATAAGATTTGTGCTTTGCTACATTTGTTTTCCTCAAGAAAAAATTGACATGTACCTGATTTATATACAAATGAGTCAAGAATAAATCAAATCAAAAGTTGCACTCGAATCAAGCTTGTGAACTGGAATCGAATTGATTTGTGAAATCTGTCAAAATCCACCTCCACACATTTCACAAGATTACAAATATCCAAGCGTTCTCTTTAGGACTGGGCAACGATTAATCGCACCCAAAATAAAAGTTTGTGTTTACATAATATATGTGTGTGTAGTGTGTAGAATTATTTTGTATATATAAATACACACACATGCATGTATATATTTAAGAAAAATGTGTTATTAATATATCAAATATTTATATTTATATATAATATTAATTATGTATAAATATATATAAAGTATATACATGCAAATTTTTCTTAAATATATACATGCATGTGTGTGTATTTAAATAATTATACACACTACACACACATATATTATGTAAACACAAACTTTTATTTTGGATGCGATTAATTGCGATTAATTGTTGCCCAGTCCTAGTTCTCTTGTGGTTTGCTCTCTCACCTTGTCCAGTTTGTCCACTGTGGAGCAGATTGTGCGGAACTTGTCGTCCGGAACGCCGCACACGGCAAACATCCCGTCCAGAATGCGTCGGTCATTCACCTGAAACACCACAACAGTGACTATTCATCTCAAACTGATAAATATACAAGAGGTTCTAATAAGACTCTAATGACCACAAACACTTTCCCAATGCTGACCAGCAACTAACCTTTATACGAAAATCTCCAAGATCTAATTCGCTCAGGATCTCGTAGACAATTTTCAGACACTCTGCGTCTGGGATCATGGCGTCGTACTGACCTGCAATATCGAAATCCTGCAGCCACGGAGAAGAAGAATTATTTATATGTAGAATTTTGAAAATAATACAAATGAATAATAACAACACTACTAATACTACTAGTAATAATGATAAAGATAATAATAAATGATATTAGTTACTGATTTTATTAGGGGGCGTTTTGCCTCAAGATTCAAACCTGCATCCCTGTGCAAAACATTTTCCCATATATCTCACTTGAGAAATTAAAAATGTAAAAATAAATGTTAAAGTGCCCCCATTATGCTTTTTCGGATATCTTTTGTCTCCCAAAAGAAAAAAAGATTGTGAACTGCCTGAAACGAGTCATCAGTAATCCCACTTATCCCAGTCTTACTTCCTGCACGAACCAATGTAGGTTTGTAACTAGTTTGCATAATGTCAGCCTATGGTCTTCATTGGCTGCCCAATAAAAACTTCAACTTTGACTCTCAAACACTGTAGTTGTAGCGGAGACTGGAGGAGTTTGGTTCATGCTGTCGACACGTCGAGAAGAAGCCGTTTTCTGCACTTTCATTTAAACACTTCCATTAAAGCCAACAGCATTGTTACTGTTCATATCAATATGCATCAAGTGCAGAGGAAGACTTAGGAGCTGAAATTCATATATGGTAATGGAGTTTCGTTTCCACACACACTGTAAGCAGTACACCAATCACAACAGAATAAGCCATCTGACCAATCAGAGCAAAGGAGGCTCTCAGAAAGGAGGGGTTAGAGAGACCGGATGTGCAATGCATATTATGAGAAAAGTGTTTTTTGACCTTGGATGCTTGTAAACCTATATAAAATAGCATAATAGGTTCTCTTTAAACAATCAGAAAGCTCAGGTGTCCAGACAGGTCCCAGAATCCAGAGCGAGGTACTCACACACTGGTAGAACTCCCTGTATCGGCCCCGGGTCATGGCTGGGTTGTCTCTACGGTACACTTTAGCGATGTGGTAGCGCTTGATGTTGGTGATTTTGTGCATTGCGAGATAGCGGGCAAACGGGACCTGAGGAGGACAAAGTCAAGGAGCCAACTACAGACAGCACTGTTGAATCTTCAAAAAAATGTAATGGAGTTGAGATGAGATGGTACACCGGCATTTGCATGATATGCTCCAGCCATTCATGCAGCCAGTGTGGGACCATATGCTAGTTATTTTAGCAATCCAAGATGGATTTTTACAGCAATATAATAGACACCAATCAGCATTAAATGTCAAATTATGAATTCATTCATTTAAATAAACATTAGATATTAGTATCTATTAGCATCTAGAATAATTTATATATATAAACACTAGACTATGCTACCACTTTCAATCTGTGTTCTGATTTTTTATTTTATTTTGCTTGTTAATTTCTCTGTAACATTTACAATAATGTTTCATTCGTTAACTGCATTAGTTAATATGAACTAACACGTCTGCCGCATTTATTAAACTTTGTAATGTTAATCTCAACATTTACTAATATATTTTTAGGATCAAAAGTTGTATCTGTTTACATTACTGCACTGTGAACTAACATGAACATTTGTATTAACTAACAGTTAGAAAGGTTAATAAATGCAGTAATAACATTGTTCATTGTATGTTAATGCAATTAAAAGTGTTACCAATTTCTCACATTGACACAAAAAATGGTAATTTAGGTCTAAATCAAACAACCTAACAGATGCAAATCAATCCGACTCTCCCCAACAGCTATGCATCTGCAAAAAGATTCAATGTAAGATCAATAAAAATGTCTTGTGGATACAGTGAGGTCATATCTCAGGGACAGAAGTTCTCCTCCCTGGTCCTTCAGGTCGTAAATGAGTTTAGAGTCTTCTCCATACTTCCCCGTCAAGGTCTCCTACAGAAACGCAAGGAAATGGTCATTACAGTGAGTTAATGCACTTATGTGACGCACAAACTGATGTGTGAGCGTTCAAGGGACCTTCAGCTCAAAGACGGGGGTATCGATGGTTTCAGCGCCATGGCGTTTAAAGCAACTGATGATGATGTTGAAAACCCTTTCTCTTATAGCCATCTGCTTGGGGTTATAGTCCCTGGTCCCCTACAGAGAGGAAAGAAGAGATCAGCTCACTTTAAACAAACCCACGTGTCTAAAATCTCACAAACCGTGTTATACCTTGGCTGTTTTGAGAACGAACGCATGTTTTCCCTCATCTCCTCCCAGCTGAGCTTTGAGCTGCAGCAGTTTGGCCACCTCTTCATCAATCTGAGAACAAACAGCAGTTTTTTTTTACCTTCAGTATAATCAACACGCAGAAACATGAAACTTATCAAGAAAATAAAGATCATATTTCACCCCAAAATCAAAAGAACACCATTTGAAGGATTTATTTTTGCCTTATGATTTTTTTTTTTTTTTTTTACAAACAAATTACTGAATTAAAATGATGCTGGTTTTAATTTTTTCAAACATTTATTTTGTCCAAACAAGATAGAGGGGTAAAAGAAAATGATTAAATCTGTTGTTTTGGCTACATGTATAGCATTCAAAAGTTTGGGGGCTCTAAGATGTTTATGTTTAAATAAGTCTTTTACACCAGTGCTGCTGGGTAGATTACTTAATAATTGTAGTCGGTTACTGAATCCAAATTGCTTGACAAAAATTGTGGTTAGTAACACAGTCAATGACATTACATATTAAATGTAATATAATCTGACTACTTTCAGATTACTTTTGGCCTAATTCGTCTATCACATTGATTTGAATAGGATAATTTTGCACCATATTAATATAAAAATACTAAAAGAAAGAAAATGTATTTTTTCTTTATCAAGAACATGAAGTGCATTAAATATGACACTACTTCAGAGTTTCCCTGACAGGGGTTTGTGAGTTTAATGAAAAGCTATCAAGTAATTAAATCATAAAAATAAAATAAATAATTTTTAAATAAAAATATCTTGAAACATGCACTGAAAATATATATTTTATTTGTTTACCTGCATGTCACGTGACCATTAAAGGTGCACTGTGTAATTTTTAGCGGCATCTAGTGGCGAGGTTGCGAACTGCAACCAACAGAAGTTACTTGAGGAGACAGCAGCCAGTTGAGCAATGAGGTTTCTTTACAAAGATAATTTAAGAAATTAGGTTTACTTAATTATTCAGTAAAACGATATGTTATTATTGCAAATATTATAGTTGTTCATCATTGTGTCGGTGTTTGAATCGCTGACTTTAGCTTGCTTCTTTGCACGAAGAACAACATAGTGACGAAACTCGTTTGTCCGTCTAGGCTACTGTAGAAACATGTCGGCGCATTTCAGTAAGGGGACCCGCGGCGTATGTAGATAGAAATGGCTCATTCTAAGGCAATAAAAACATTACGGTTCTTTATAAACCACTGAAAACATAGTTATGTATATGATATTGCATTTCTGTCAACAGATCCTCCTAAATATTACACAATGCACCTTTAATCAACATCACAGAACCGTAAACGTAATTTTATTATTATTATTGACTTAATTTTATTATTGACCTAACTTATCATTAAAAATCTAAGGGCTTACTTTAAGTAAATGTATTAGGCCAAAGAAGTTCAGCTGACAATTTGGGGAGTCCCTGCATTGCATGCAAATATGAAATGACGTGAATTTGTACATTTTAATGTGTTCGAAAGACAAAAGCCTTCTTTAGACAGCAATGCATGGTAATACAAGCCTAAAATCAATCTGTTCATCATATAAAGAGATCGAGTCCCTTCAGAAAATTTGGACTAAACCGCTCAATTCATATGGATTAGTTTTACAATCTCTTTATGAACTTTTTGAAGCGTCAAAGTGTCAGTTGTGTAGCTTTCAATGGAGGGACAGAAAGCTCTCAGATTGCATTTAAAAAAAGCTTCTTTTGTGTTCCGAAGATGAAAAAAAGTCTTACAGGTTTGTAACGACATGAGGGAGAGTAAATTATGTCCATTTTCATTTTGGGTGAACTATCCCCTTTAAGAATTTAAATAAAATATATATTTTCGATTTGAAGTGAAATGTGACCTGTCATTTCCTCAGCCTTCAATAAATTCTGTATGCTTTTGGATTGGAAACAAGATGTGAACAAAGACTGATGAGCAGTGACTGGATTGTGTCTGAAATAAAAAGGCACCTGTGATAAAGTCATTCCGGAGGAGAAACGCAGAGATGGCAGGAGCACAGCAGACCGACGGCCCATGAGTCCAGCACACAGGCGCATGGAGACCAGCCCCAGAGCGTTCATTACGCAGTCCAAACACACACACACACACACACACACCAGTCACAATACCATACGGTCCAAAAGCATCCACAGGTGAACGGTCCAATCCCACAAACAGCAGGGATATTCCAGGTGTGCGGTGATGATGATGATGATGATGGTATCCGTGGCAACAAGCAGGAAGAACAGGAGAAAAGTGGTGAGCAACCCTGTCACTAGGGGCCAGTAAGAGAGGAATCACAGCAGCGAGGAAGCAAAACATGAGAGGAGGCAGTCAAAATCCACCAGCATCCCCAAACTGAGTTAGAGAATCACGCCACACCTCTTAGTTGAGCACATAAACCACATTAAGGCTTTTCTATCACCCCTTGAAATGACAATCCCTCACATACACACTATACTACAAACATGGGGCTTTTTTTGTCATATTTAAAGGGAATATCGACATCCAGTCTTCAGGTGATGATCAGGTGATGTCACTGGACGCCCAATACCTTCACATTTTTATTCTAAACCAAGCAATTTCTACAAATAAATGTATTTAGAAATACTACTGATCAACACAGATTTATTTATCCATCCATCTATATACAGTATTGATGTCCACCATGGCTGACAGATTGCATCAGCTGGCTAACCGTTAGCATCATGCCGCATGTCTAATATAGAATATCATTAATTAAATCTTGAATAATGATATTGAGCAATTCCATCTCCTAAAACAGCTCATAACCTGCCATGCAGATCAGACCTAAACATTTCTGATCTCCAGTTTTCTCATATGAAAGATAAAGCATGCAGCCATTGGTCAGCCGTGTGTTCCTTCATTAAGCTTTAAAGAACGCTTCAGAGCTCATACTAACCTGTTCTTTGCTCGCTTTCTCTGATTTCAGTTTCCTGACGACCTCTCCTTGTGTTTTAATCGCCTCCTGTATCTGCGCTTTATCGGCCATAGTGCTGGAGAGAGCCGATCTGATGAACCAGCGACTGAACTGCAGCTACTACTGCGGGCGCACACATTAAACGTCACTTCGTTTCCTCAGACGAACACCAGGGGGCGCTGTATTGATGGCGTGAAAATCATGGATAAAAAAATGAATAACTTTATATTAGAGAATTATGTAGACCTACATTATTGCCTAAATGCAAACCTTTTTGGAACTCAATGTATAATCAGATTGAATGGAAAGAGGTCTGGAGTTTACCCCGTAAATACTGTCTCACTAAAAAAGTTAAAGAAATTACATATAAGATTATTCACTTGATTTATCCAGTGAGACAAGCAGTCTCAAGATTTTTTAGAGACATGGAGACTACATGCTCTTTTGTAACACCGAAGAATAATCAATAAAACATTATTCTTTGAATGTGTATTTACCCAATTGTTTTGGATTGATGTTGAATATCTGATATTTAAATTCACAAAATTACAGATTCGTCTATCTGGTAAAGATATTTTCGTGTTATACAAAAATAAGAGTTTGGAGCAAAATTTGGTGGTTAACTTAATCATTATGTATGGAAAATACCATATTCACAAACAGAAATGGACAAATAATAAACCTAACCTTATATTATTTAAAATTGAGCTTAAACATTATATTGAATCCCTAAAAGATGCAAGAAATAAAAAAGCAAAACGGATGTATAGAATTTTTTAATCCCTTTCTTTTTGGAATTTTTTGTAAGTTTCCCCTGTAAAGTTTATTAGGGCCCAAGCCCAAAGGGCGAAGGCCCTATTGTTTTCCTTAGGATTATTTATTATTATTATTATTCTTATTATTTTTCTGCTACCTTTTGGACACTTTTGGAGGCCTTAACATGCTCAAAAACTCCTGAAACTTTGCACACTGGTCAGAACCCGCGGCCATCAGGGCCGGGCTGAAGATGGTACCCGGGCGTGGCAGGGGGGCTCGACAGCGCCCCCTGGAACGGGGTCCGAAAACATGGTCCATAAATCAAACACGCTTGCATGTAATAATATGAAACTCGGTACACATGTAGATCTCCTCGTTTCATATATACTTCACACTCTTACTTTTTACCCCAGCCCAACAGGAAGTCGGCTATTTAGGGTTGTTGGTAAAACACACGCAATGGAATGTGAAATACTCCTCCTAGAGAATTCAAACAAACGGCACGAAACTCGGTCAGCATGAAGTCAAGACATTGAGGATGAAAGTTTGCGAGGGGATTTTTGATATCTCGAACGGTTTGGCCGTGGCGAGGAAACGAATTTATGGCGAGAAACAACAAACAAGAAGTGCGTTATAACTTCTGCATACATTAACTGATCTTGATGAAACTTCAGCAGTGTGATCGCTGTAAGAGGCCGATCACATGGATGTGACTATTGTGAGTCAAAGTTATAGCGCCACCAACTGGCAGCAGGAAGTGTGTCACTTTCTAAATGCTTTTGACAAAAGTGGGGGGGTTAGTTTTATCTACAGTAACAAAACTCGATATGTATATTGTACTCTTCGAGCCGGACAACTTTCTAATTTACCGTAATTAGCTACGACCAACAGGAAGTCAGATATTTTGGTTTGAATGTGGATTTCAGATTCTGAGTTTTTAGCTACTCCTCCTAAGTAGTTTATTTTATTCATGCCAAACTTTTTCAACATGATGAAAATACATTGAAGATGCTAAATTGTGAACAGATATTGAATATCTCAAACGGTTTTGCTATGGTTGAGGGATTCAAGTAATGTCAAAAAAAGAATCAGGGCATGTCTCATATCTTTCTAAAATGTAATTATACACCATTTATTTTTATATAAAATTATACAAATATTAGAACTAAACCCATTTTATTCCTTTTTTTCAATTTAAGAATTATTTTTAAGTTTAAAAACAGCCAGAATGGTTGTTTAGTCAAAAATAATAATAATCCAAATCATATATAGTGCTATACTGCCCTCTTGTGTTCAAAATCAGGTAGGCCTATTGAATTTATAAATATTTATATATTAGGGATGTTACTATGGGAATATTTTCCCACCGGTTAATCAACGTGTGATTGTGTAAACCAATTGTGTAAACCTCCCGCTGGGGGGTTTAAAAACACTAACTTGAAAGCGAAAGTATAATATGGACGTCCGCACAGACATTGAAATGGTGGCGCTCGAATGAATTCCTATGGAAGTAGAAATTAACTAAACGTTCGCTCTGTTCTGCTCGCTCGTCGCCATGGACGCGCACCATTATGAATGCCAGTGCAGCCGCATACTTTTTAGTGTCACTAAAATTAGTGCAATTTCGGGGGCCGATTGCTTGAATTGTGAGTTCAATAGTCTATTATTTTTCACGGAAAACACAACAATAAAAGAGTACAATGACAGATTCGCTTAAATAGGCGTTTTTACATAAAATAGCCTATTCCGTCATCATCTTTTCAGTCAGCTCTTCACTCTCGTGATTAATGAAATTTGACTCCTGTTGCTGATATTTGCTGCAACTTTCGTTCAGCTCACAATTTAGTAAGCAAACACATTTCAAATGTGTTTTTATTTTATTTTTGTGTATGTCTGTGTATATGTATGTATATATATAAATATAGCTTATGTTTCAAATATGAGTTAATTAACAATCGTTGGAAAGAATGATACTTTTAAACATAACACTAAACCGTCATTAGGTGTCGCCAGGCGACCGTCTTAATGAGCGAGTCATTGATTCATTCGTTTGAACGACTGAGTCATTCATGAATGAGATAGATGTTTATGGATTGATTGGTCATTGAATCTTTGAGTCAACCGATTCGTTCAAAATGCTGAATCATTCAGTAATGAGAACGCGTTGCTGTGAGATGCGCGATGGTTCTGCTGTGATCTTTGTTTAACTATTTTCGCTGCTGAAACAGAAAAAAAGTCAATATTGCATGTAAAATGTAAGTGATTTGACTTGTGTGTGTGTGTGTGTGATTGTGTGTGTGATTGTGTCTGTTACAGTGATAAGAGTTTAACCCTTGTTAAACTTTAGGCCTTGTCTTTTTGGATATATATCTTTTTATATTAAAAAATAGTCATACAACCCATATATTTTAAATGTATTGTTTGCTTTAAATTACATTAAGATTGTATGTTTGGTAATTGAACCTGAATGAATTTTAAATGAATGTGCTATATTTCAGATCATATATTTGTTTTCCTTAAAATTTGAACTAACACTAACTTTATTCTCATCTGAATGATAGATTATTTATTTCTGTATAAAATAAAAACACATTTGATTTTTCTTTTTTAATCAATGTAGAATGTGTAACTGAAAAAATAAACAGATTAGGGCTCTGTTTGATGACAAGAAATGAAAACCAATGCGATATGATGAATGTCCAAAAGATGGCTCCCACAGACTGTTTTTAAATAGGATTGTTTGATATTTTTTGCTTTTAAACTGTGTGTGTGTGTGTGTGTGTGTGTGTGTGTGTGTAAGAGATTTTGGTTGGGTGACAGTTGTAGTTTACAGTTTGACAAGAGTTTATAGCTTGACAAAAGCACAATGTTGTGTTTTATTGCAAGTGTACACAAATATAAGTAAACACTTTGCAGTTTGAATAATGTCCTGTATGAACAAAAGGACGGAGTATGTTTTTATGTCTACATTGTTCAATTACGCCACACACACACACACACACACACACACACACACACACACACACACACACACACACACACACACACACAAACACTATTTTTCTAATCAGATCAGGCAAGTAATATTCTGTCTTGTCTCTTAAAAAAACAATATATATATATTTATGTATATATATGTGTGTGTGTGTGTGTTTGTGTGTGTATATATATAAATATAGCTGCGAGCAGCGATGAAAGGGCCAAAGCCGGCGGCACCGCCACCCCGGTTATAGCGCCACCAACTGGCAGCAGGAAGTCTGTCACTTTCAAAAAGCTTTGAAATCACCTGATTGCTTCAAACTTCACTACTATGATGTAAACACATGGCAGATGTAGACCTGGATGTAGACCTGACCTTTCAGAAGGTTGCTCTCGCATACTTTGTGGTTGATATGTGCCCTCAATGCACACTTTTGCAGAGCCCACACTGATACAAGCTCTACAGCACACTTCTTTTCGACAGTCAAAGCAGGGTTACGTTTTTGCACGTCGTGCACAATAACCCTAAAGGCACCAGGGTGGCGGTGCCACCGGCTTTATATATATATATATATATATATATATATATATATATATATAAATATAGCTGCGAGCAGCGATGAAGGGCCAAAGCCGGTGGTACCGCCACCCCGGTGCCTTTAGGTAACTAAAGGCACCGGGGTTGCGGTGCCACCGGCTTGGGCCCGTAATCGCTGCTCGCAGCTATATTTATTATTATTTTTATTATTATTTCTTTATTGTTACTTTGATGCTATTATGAATGCAATAGATAATAATACACTGTGATCCTCTTTATGTGTATGTTGTAAATTGTTCTATTGTTATGCAATAAAAATAAAATAAAAAATCGAATAGAAATTCTTGGAGAACATGGCATGGGGGAACGCTAAAACAACAGGGGACAGCTCAAGAAAACATTTTTATTTATTATTTTTCCATTGCTGTCATACACAAATATGTTGGGTTGATGTGGAGCATTTAATTAGGAAAAAATTGGACAGGGTATGTTATGTAGCCTATGCAATTTTCTCATAACTGTTATAGAGCCGGTGAAGTGCAGGTGGCGCCAAAGAGACGCGACTTCTGGAAAACGCCGCAGAGAAAGAAGAAGCAGTCATATGTTATGATGATGAAGGTGGGGTTTGAATTTTAAGCAAGAGCTGAACATTAATGTAGGCCAGCCTGCGCAAAACCACCGAGCAAAACACTACTTGAACCTGAAGGTAAATACAGTCCAGCTCATAGACTAATGTTTGCTCGTTATAAGTGACAGCGCTAGGCATATCAATACTGTTAAACTGGCTGTTAATGAGTATTAGCTTTAGCATTCACAGAATAGCATCAGCTGTCACGGGTGACAACTGAAGGA